TAATTTTTTCTATATATTTTTAGTTGTCCAGCTAATTTCCTTCTATTTTTAGTAGAGACCGGGTCTCGCTCTTGCTCAGGCTGGTCTTGAACTGCTGACCTAGAGCGATCCTCCCGCCTCGGCCTCCCAGAGTGCTAGGATTACAGGCATGAGCCACCACGCCCGGCCTAGTGGGCTTTTTTTAAAATAGAAACTAACAAGGGGACTCTAAAATTTATATACAAATCCAAATGACCTAGAGTGGTCAGAATAATTTTTTAAGAGAATAACAAAACCAGAAAGCTTACACTATAAAACTTCAATATCTAGTCTAAAATCGCAATAATCAAATCAGTGTCCCATTGCTGGAAGTACAGACATATAAGCCAAGGGAATAGAAAATCCACATATAATCCCACACATCTATGGTCCACTGATTTATGAAAAAGATTCCAAAGCACTGTAATTGAAATTTGATAGTCTTTTCAAAAAATGCTGCTGGAATTGGTTATCTCAATGGAAAAAAGAAGAGAATGTCAACCCTTACATCATTCCATACACAAAAATTAACTCGAAGTGGAGTTTAGACCTAAATGTTCATGATAAAACTCTAGAAATTCTGAAAAACCTTGAAGAAAATCATTGCCTCTGAGTAGGCAAAGCATTCTTAAATAAAATAAAAAACCAAAACTCATTAAAAAAACTGAAAAATTGAATCTTATCAAAATTTAAAACTTATAATGTCACATACTTCTAAAAAGGTACTGGACCAAAACAGAAAAGAACTCTTACAATCCAGTATTAAGAAATATAATTCAAGTTTAAAAGGGAAAGAAATCTGAATAGATACTTCAAAAAAGAAGATACATGAATATGTGATACTACTACACACACATTAAAATGGCTAAAATTAAGGTTATTGATACGAAGTGTTAGAGAATATGTGTTACAATTAGAACTTTTAAATACTGCTGGCAGAAATACAAAAGGGTACATCTACTCTGGAAAACTATTTGGCTTTTTTTTTTTTATAAAGATAAACATTCACTAAACTTAAAAGAGCCCAGATATTTCAATCCTATAAACCCCAAAATATTGAAAACAAATTTTCACAGAAAGACTGGTATACAAATCCTCATAGCTACATTCTCAATAGTCATAAACTTGATAAAAACCCAAATGGACATCAGAAGTGAATGACAAAGAAATGCTGGTGGCCAGGCAGGATGGCTCACACCTATAAGCCTAGCATTTTGGGAGGCTGAGGCTGGAAAATCTCTTGAGGCCAGGAGTTTGAGGCCAGCCTAAGCAACACAGACACAAACAATAGAAAAATCAGCCAGGGGTGGTGGTCCCTGCCTGTAGTACTCAGGAGGCAGAGGCAGGAGGATCGCTTGAGCCCAGGAGTTTGAGGCTGCTGTGAGCTAGGCTGACGCCTTGGCACTCTAGCCCGGGCAACAGAGCAAGAGCCTGTCTCGAAAAAAAAAGAAAAAAGAAAAGGTGGTACATGGACCCAAGAGAATACTACTAATAGAAAAATTAAGAATGAACATAGTGGGGGGAGGAGGCACAAGGGCAACATATGTAACCTAAACATCTGTACCCCCATAATATGCTGAAATAAAAAAAAAGAATGAACATAATAATATGAATAAATCTCAAAATCATCATGCTGAGGAAAAGCATCCAGACACAAAGGAGTACAGTCACGCATACACAAATCTAGATGGTACAGCCCATTACACACCCAGGCTATATGGTGTAGCCATGATAATCTTATGGGACCAACGTCACATACGTGGTCCATCATTGACCAAAACATCATGTGGCACATGACCGTACATCCCATATGATTCTGTATGGGCATGTGAAAGAGGACGGACTATAATAAGGACACCAGAAAACTCTTAAGGGTAATAGAACTGCTCTGTTTCTTGACTGTGGTAAAAAATTTTTATGGATTTACCCCTGTTTCATAACTCATCAAATTGCATGCTTTAAGTGATTACAATTTATTATATTATACCTCAAAAAGAGTTGTTTAAAAAATGAATTTAGCATATTTACTGTTTATAGAGTTGACATATAAATGTCAACTCCATTCCTAAATATCAGCAAACAAAATGAAACATTAAAAATGGTATGATATAGTATAAAATTATCAAAACCTAAGATTTTACAATAAAATTACAAAACCTAGGAATTTAAAAAAACATTCGCAAGAACTCAACTAAAAAAATTTACTTAGAAAATCTAGTTAAATATAGGAATACAGGAAAGATTGAATATTGCAAAGATGACAACACCCTGTATATTTATCTGTAAAGTCAATGCAATCCTTATCAAAAGAGTTACAGGGTGTATGTGTGTGTGTGTGTGTGATTTAACAAATTGTCTCTAAAACATGTATGAAAAACAAAGAACCAAGAACAACTAAAAGACTTTTGAAGGACACAGTGAGAAGATATGCTTTACCAGGCAGGTATCTGGATTTATTACGAAGCTACAGTAATTAAAACACTATATTACTGATGAAAGGATAACAGATTATTCCAGCCTGAGCACAAGTGAGATCCTGTCTCTACAAGGAAATAGAAAAATTAGCTGGGCATGGTGGCGTGTGCCTGTAGTCCCAGCTGCTCAGGAGCCTGAGGCAGCACGATCACTGGAGCCCACAAGTTTGAGGTTGCTGTGAGCTATGATGATACCACTGCGCTCTAGTAGCCCAAGTGACAGTGTGAGTCCTTGTCTCCAAAAACAAACAAATAAATAAACTATGAAAGCACAATAATGAGCCCATAAAGAAACTCAATTGTCATTTAAGACAAAGATGTCATTCTATGCTGATAAGGAAAGCATGGTCTTTTTTTAATGATTAGATCACTTGTATATCTATATGTAAGAATATGAAACTTTACTCCTACCTCAGATCATACACAGAAATCAATTCATGGTGGATTATAAATCCCAGTATAATAGGCCAAATAAAGCCAGAAGATAAAAATAGAATATTTTCATGTTTCTTAAGACACAACATTTTACCTTTTTATTAAAAGGGCAGTATTGGTAAATTTGACTAAATTAAAATTAAGAACTTTAATTCATTAAAATGTCACCATCAAAGAACATAAAAACAATATGCAGAGGGGAAGATATATTAGACAAAAGGTTCATAACCACAGTGTATCAATGACACTTAAAAATCATTATGAAAGACAGAAAATGCAATTTAAAACAACCAAAAAAAAATAAAAATGGGTAAAGACTTGAAAATTCACCACATCAAAGATGACATAAACGTGGCCTATAGCCACTAAACACATTATAAAATGTTCAATCTCATTAATCATTTGAAAATGCAAATTAAACCACAATAAAATACCACTAATTTACACATATCTAAATGCCT